ATGACCATATAAAGTTTTAACCCCCCTCAATTTGAGGGGGCTCTAAACTTTGCAGGGTCATAAAAACTAAACACTAAAAGATTATTGCATGAAATTTGAAATTTGTTGATGAATATTGATTTAAACAAAAATAGTATAGAAAATAATTTATAAACTTGTTGCTCCCACATTAAGGGCCGGGTGGGCCCAAAAATTAGGGTTTTTTTGTTCCCAACCTCCAATCACCACAATTCTTTGCAAAACATCCTCATTTGACATAAGCATGAACATACAAAAGTTTGGAGTTTGCACAATGCCTGTAAGTGTCAAAACTCAAACATCTAAAAATCGAGTGTACACCCCTGTATATATATATGTAAAATATTAAATAGAGGATTATAACAGTTAAAAAATAATAATAATAGTACAACCATATGATCAACAGTAAAGTAAATGAAAGAAAAATGACTCATTGAACAAATAGTGCAATGAGCCATATTTTCTTGAAACTAGAAAATTTCAAGAAAATCTTGTCATTTAAGACTTATGCATATTCAAGACTGCTCTCGGAAGAGTAAATTCTCAAATTGAAATGTTCCTGAATTCAAAGCCAGGAACATCTTATTCATTTTTCAAATTGAAATGCTTCTGACTTCTAAGAAATGAACATTTCAATTATAACAATTGCTCACATGCTCACAGCATAATATCAAAGCATATATCAATTATGATGATTATGTAAGCAATTGTTAAAATTTTATGAGAAATATTTAGCATTATAAAAGAATTCCATTAAAAAAAAACAAAAAAAACTTCCAGTGTAAAAGCTAAGGAAGATCAATTCAAAGAGAAGATGATAAAACTTCTGTAACTTTTCTTCAGCTAATTCTGTTGAAACAATTCTAAATAGGCAATATGGTTTTAAGAAAGAAATCGACTTCTTATTTGTCAAACCAGAAAGATAACAGATAAAAAAGAGAACTATTCCCTTAGTCCAAAGTAAAAGTTCATTTTCATAAAGAAACAAAAAAGACAAAAAAGTAAAAAGAAATATTGACAATTAAAATGGTAATCCTAAAGGCCAAGGAGAAATTCTTGCCAACACAGAAAAACAGAAAAATGTCTATCTGACAGACATTTTTCGGTTTTTCTGAATTTTTTGTTATTCTTTCTGGAAACACCACAATTAAGAGGGATATTGAAAACATTAGGTTATGGAAAAAATATATATATTTTACACATGTTCTAGCAGAGATCTAATCTAACAGAAAAGTTACAATAACTTAGCAAAAAAGAATTTTTATTTTTTTGATCTATTGCCAATAAATCTTTTGTTTTTTTTGTCATACTTTTTGAATATACAAAAATATTAATTTTAATTTTAACTAATTGGTGACAATCTTTAGGTTTCACCTAAAAATAATATCAAGCTCCTAAATATTTATAAACAAACTAAACGTTTAAACCATAACATCAATTGCAGAAGTATATTGAAATTTAACTTTTTTTTTAAAAAACTGTAAAACAATTTATATAAATAATTTTTTAAATTTCCTTATTAATAGATTATTTCTTTAACTTTCTTTATTTCTTTAATTTCATTTACATGCAAAGTGTGTGTATATACATTAACTGGTGTACCTGTAGGCACAGCAGAGCATACATACATGATATAGCAATAGATGAGGCAAACATATATATATATATATATATATATATATATATATATATATATATATATATATATATATATATATATATATATATATATATATATACCAACACACACACACACACACACACACTTATTTCTGCAGATTGGCATGTATATTTTCCTGATAATTTATTTTGCTAAATAATAATAACAATTATAACAAATATTGTATAAAGAACAATAACTTACATTGTATAAAAAGGATGTTTCTTGACTTCACTCAACTAAACAAACAAAATTTAAAAAAATTTAAAAAAAAAATAATCTACTGTAAAAATTATTTATGTGAGTAAATAATAATGAATTTACAGAATATCTTTGCTCTGGATTGACTTTAATCATCTTGTGAAGAAGATCAGCGCATTCTGCTGGAACAAACAATGGGACTGAAAATACACCACTCTTTACCTAAAAAAAATTTTTATCATTAAATTTTAAAATACTGTGTGTGGGCATCTGTATGTTTGTGAGTATCTATGTGCCTGTGAGGTGTGTATGTGTGCGTCTTTTTATTTATTAACTTATAATATTTATTTATTTTTTTTCATTATTTTATATTATTAAAAAGTATTTGTTTGTAATGGTTACATTGAGAGTTTTATAATGAAATTCTTTTTCATTTTTCATTTGTTATAAATAAATGTTTTGAGTGTCGTTACATAAAACCTGACTGTCTCTTGACTTTTTTAATAGTTGTTTGTCATTTTTTATTTTATAAGATTTATCTTTCTTTATTAAAAAACTCTTTATTAAAATTTCAAAATTTTCAAAATTATTATTTTTTTAAATTTATTATTTCTTTTTTACAAGTAAAAATTTTCTGTTTTGATAAAATTATATTTATAATATTTACTGGATTTTTTTAAAATTATTTATAGCATAAAATTTGAACTGTATTTTTTTTTTGAAAATTATAGAAATAATTAATAAAATATAACTCAAGCCCTAACACTAAACTGAACCTACTGTCAGTCAACACTGTGGATCAAAGGCACTGCCAGGTTATATGTCACAGGACAAATTCCTTAAAAGTATTAAAAATATTAAAAATATAGTATGTAAAAGTATTAACTATATTGTTAAAAAAAAACTCTTTCTGAAATCAAAATGTATTGCTAACATACTTTTTTAGATATAACTATATTCTAAAATTAAATTTTTATCATTACCGAAGTAAAGTTTATTTTATATTTAGTTTATTTTATCTTTTCATATATAAACTTTTCATTGAAAAAAAAAAATTATTTATATAAACTATATTTATATAAATACTTACTTAAAAAAAAAACAATTTTGTTTTATAATATTTTGTTCTTAATACTTTGTATCAACAACAAAAAATAAATAAAATAATGTATATATAATAATTATATTAAACTAATTTAACATCATAGTTACTCATTGTTGTTAACTTCTAGTAATTATTAGATAAAATTTTAGTTTTGATTAATAAATAAAATATACAATATTTGTACATTTTATTTTTTATCAAATGCTTATGTCTAAGTCTAATGTTTAATGCCAAGTCTAAAACAAAAACAAGTAATGGAAAAAAAAAATCAACTTTTTTAGTATAATATAATTTTCTGATTATTGTCTACTCTGTGGTGATTAAATCTCACTTTTTCAAGTCAGTATTTGATTTTACTTCCCTAAACCTCTTACATAACTTGGCTTTAATAATTTCCTAATATTTCTCAATTACACAAAGTTTAGGACAATTTCTAGAATTGTGTGTTTAGGTATGAAATCTACACTATTGACACTGTAGCCAATACAATAATCCTTGTAAATTAAAAAATGAGGAAATTTATGACCAAACAACATGGTTAAATAATTGTTAACAAATGGTAGTTAAATTAGCCCAGCAACTTCAAATTCATGAATCTGAGTAATTTACTACCTGCTGGTAGACCATGCTCAGGGAGGTCACTGGACAATATTTTGAGGACCTTAACTCTATGAAGACGTTGAAGAAAACACACTAACTGTAAATGGTAAAAGATATCAAGAAATGCTAGAAAACTTCATTTTCAAAATCAAATAAAGTTACTTTGTAGAATTATCATTTCTGCTTATAAAATGATAAATGTGAATTAAGAAAAAACAAAAAGATTGTTTTTAAATGGTCTAGTGACAAAAGGGAAAACCCAAATTATGTTTACAACTTGATTTAAAAATATTTAAAAGATACATTTTTGTGTTAATGTCAATATTAATTTAAAAAAGTGCATTAATCAAGTCTAGATTTAAAAAAATATGTAATTAAAGAGCCAGAACCATTATTTACCATCTTAACCATCCCACTTACTACCTCATTACTTCTTACTATCCTAACAAACAAAATTGTGTTAAAGATAAAGTTTTTGTTAATATTATAAAAAAATAATTAACAACTCTAAAATAATTAAAGCTTTAGAAAATTTAATTAACTTATTTTCTAAGTTTTATTTATATATGAAAATAACTTTTTTTGGCACTTAAGGATCTTTTTAAAAATATTTATTATGACAAGTTGCACAAAATTTAATATAAATTATAAAAATATGTTTTTAATATCAACTTTCTGCAATCATTTTAACAAAAATGATTTAAATTCAGAAAAAATAGGTTTTTTAAACATAGAACTTAAATTATAAATCAAACATAATAATACAAGGTTATATCTATGGTTTTATTAAAAAAAAAGAATGCAACATTGATTTGCATTATAATAGCATTCAAATTGATTGTTTCTAAAATAATCATTGTCTATCTTGTTTTAAAATTTATTTATTTTTTCTTGATTCACTGTTTGTGAACTTAGTTTATTCCAATTGTTTACAATTCTGTTGGTAAAAAAAGTGTACCTTAGTAAACACAATTTTATAATCATTGAAATTATTTTCTACGGTTTTAAAAATTGAATAAATTTGGATAATGCAAAACATCATGACAAAAAATCAAATAGATTCCAATACCAACTTATTATTGCTGTTGCTAGCATACATCTAGCATGCATGCATTCATCATACTTGCATAATTAGCACGTCAAAAATGTCAAAACTCACAATAACATCAATACTTATTGGTTAATAAAGCAAAATAAATTAAAATAATAAGTATATATTAGGAATAAAAATAACTATATACAATATGTAATTAACAATTCTAATAAAAATAAAAACAGCAAATAACAAATGATCATTCATTAAATAACCAATAAAAAATGACATACTAAAAATCAATATAAAATAATTATTTAAAATAACAAAAAAACCTTTTCTAGCAAAACTCTCAAGTTATCATCATCAAATGGTAAGCAACCCTAAAAATTTTCCAAATTTACCATTTTAATATTAAAGCATAAACTAATAGAGTATAGATAGAGCCAAATATAACATTATATATATATACACATATATATATATATATATATATATATATATATATATATATATATATATATATATATATATATATATATATATATCAAGCTTTCTAAGGTAAAGCTTGCATAAATTTTTTGCATTTATTGAAAATTAGCATGTTTATAAAAAAATGCACTAAAAAAATCAAACTAATTTCGAGAGAAAATTAAATTAGTCAAACCGAAAATAGAAAGAAACTTAAAGAATGATAAAATAAAGGATAAACCAGAAAAAATAAAAGCATAAAAACAAATTTATTTTTTAATTTAGAAACATCTCAATTAATTGTTTAAACTTAATTTAAAATCATTTTGATGAATAGTTTAAAGCTAATAATTTTTCCTACATTGCCACATTAATGTAGCGCTTTGGTTGACTAATTGTGTCATTTGAGGTACGACTAATATAACGGTATTGGATGAGAGTTCAAATCCTGCTAATGGATAAGTTTTTTTTAATGTTTTATTTGCTTTGTAGACATCAGAAAATATCAAAGTTTCAAATTTTTAAATAATTAAGTTTCAAAGTAACTTAGCTTGGATTAAATAACTTTGAAACTGTGATTTATTTTTAATTCTTTGTAATAAATCATATTAACATATTAATTTTTTATTTTTTTTATTTTTTATTTTTATTTTGTCACTTGTTGAGATTTTTATTTTTTTAGTTTAGTTTTGTAACTTTTTTTAGTTTTTATTTCTCTATCTAGTTTATAATTTGTTTATTTTTAATTTTAGTTTTGTTTATTCGACGCATTTTTTAAATGCGCTAACTTAAAACATGCAAGGAGCCGTGGCCAAGTAAGTTATCAAAACAAAATATTATATGTGTGGTCATATAAGGCGCACACATCTCCTGAGAAACCTTGATATATATATATATATATATATATATATATATATATATATATATATATATATACAGCGCTCGAAATAATTATTTGAAGGTTGCCGATCAACACTGATCGGCAGAAATAATAAAAGTAATAAAGTAGACGATCAAAAAATTATCCAGACGATCAAATTTTTCTTAACTTTTTCTTTAATAGCGTACAGTTTAGGTGACGTCAAATTGTTTGTTTTACCGCTATCAACCTACAATAAATTGCGTTTTTAGAAAATTCTATTGATTTTGTGCAATTTTCTAAAATATCTTTACCTTAATGCCTTTTAGTACTAAAAAAATCTATTTTTAGAACACTAGCTGAACGCTATTGGTTTTTGAATACAACAGCGTACGTCCGCGTTATCGTTTATAGTTTTTACTTTTAAACTTAGCTCTTAATTCACTTTTTCACTTCAACGCGTTGCCTTTTAAGTGACGTAAAAATATTTTTTGTGACTCGAACAATTGTTTTTTATATAATGATCGTTTTTTAACAAAAATGACACAATAAAAAGGTAATGAACTTTTTAACCAATATTTGATTATTAAAACTTTTTTAAACAAAAAAAAGGTGAGAAAAAATAATCTCGTTTTGCGCTATTCATTACTTGATTCGTTAGATGATGAATCCAAGTCGATTAATGTTTTTAATCCTGCTTTTTTTGCTCTTTTGGAATAGCATTTTCTTACTGATTGTTTTGGCTTTCGCACGGCATCATTGGTCCATAACTCGATAGCAGAACTTAAATCAAATAAATTGGAATCTTTTTCATCGAAACTTACTCGAATTAAATTTTCTAAACGTTTCTCTTTCAGAGAGTTTCTTGTATCCGTTTTTACTCTATTCATTAGTGAAAAAAGGCGTTCAACTTTCGCATTAGAAACAGGCAAAGTAAATAATAGTTCGACAATAAGTAAAACCGGAACCCATTCATTTTTCATTGAGCTAGAAAAAATTTGATGCCATAACTTACGATAACCGGTATTATGTGGTGCTAAATATTTTACAATTTAGTTTACCAAGCTATGCCAAGCATCCAAAACATCATTTACAGTTCCTGCAAAACCAGCATGTCGCAACGGCGCTCTATAAAAGTCAAAAAGATTTTCTATTCCTTCATCCAGGAATGTTTCATTTTCAATACTTTGAAGCCAACCTTCTGTATTTAAAACTTTTGTACCATACATATCAGTAATAGTATCGCTTGTTTCCAAACGCTCTATGATTGAATTTGTTACCAACTCGATATGAATAGATTTAGACTTTTTTACTAAATGTTTAGCATTTACAAAGTCGTTAAGTGCAACACCCTGGAAATAAAACTTTCCTTCTTTTTCAGTCACTTTGGCGAGAAAACGTTTTACTGTTGGCAAATTAATAAATTTTGTTTTTTGAATACGATTTAAATGGCTTTTAGCTTGTTGAACAAACCCTGATGAAGCCAACACATCTATCTCATCACTTTGAAAACATTTTGACAACATCTTTGCTGGTGCTAAAATCTCAATAAACAACGCGATATAAAGGGGCATTCTAGCATGAATCCACTTTTTGTGGTATCCTTTAAACTTAGCTCTTTCAGCATTGGTAAATGTTATATCTTCAGTCATATTTTCCAGATGTGTTAAATAAACACCGTATTTATCTAAAATCATTTCTAAAGCCTGAACTTTATGTGAAATCCATTGTGTACCTAAAAATGAAACAAGATTATACAATTTATAATTTACTTTATACTTGCAAAAACTAAAAATATAGGCGTCACGCATAACTGTAATGGTAATAAATATAAGATAAATAAATCAAGCAAAAATAAGAAAATACCGGAGGCTTTCTTAGGTCGGTAACCACCAATGTTATATTCATCATCTTCTAAAATAGAAACGAGTTCACCCAACTGTCTTAACTTTTTGGGGGATTTTTTGTAAATGTAATGCATTTTTAAAATCATGTAATCAACGTCATTGAATGAGGCTGTTTTTCCTAATTTTTCTTTTAATGATAACTCGAGACGATGTGCTACACACCAGCCAAACGTGATCCAGGGGACTTCAGCCTTGAGCAACATTTTAACGCCCGACTTGCTCCCTCTGTTAACGGATGCGCCATCCGCACCAAATCCAACTAGTTTTTTATTGCAATTTACGACTTCTATATTCTCGAGTGACTTTTTTATGGTGTTGAAAACTCCGTGCGAAGTTCCATACTCAACATCCAAAAGTGAAAGAAAATCACATTCAACGTTTACTTCAGATTTTCCAGTTGGAGCCGGATTAAAAGTAACGGCAAATATAGCTTCTTTTTCCTTAATTGAAACGTCGTTAGAACCGTCAATTAAAATAGTGAAAAAATTTTGAGTATTTAGTTTATTTTTGAGATCTATCGCTAAACTAAGAGCAATGTAGTCAATAAATACTCCGCATGTGTTTTCGTTTTTATAAGCCTGACCAAAAACTACACCATGTTTCTCTTCTAATTGAATTATTTTTGGGTATAGGCAAAGCGATAGTTCTTCTTTTGCTATAAAGTAAGCGACCTCAAATTTTTTTTTTGTCAAATCCAAGTCTTTACTATTCATGGTTTGAATACCGGATAAAATGTCTGTTTGCCGCATTTCCTGCTGCAACTCGTTTAGTTTTTCAATTCGATCGCACAAATTCATGCCTCTCGTTTTCATAAAAATCTCAAAAGCCTTCTGATGAGACATTCCCTCTGCATGCGTGATTGCAGAACTATGTTGCAATCGACTACATCCTTTTCCACAGCTCCATTCCGGAGTGTAGCCTTTTAAAACCTGAATTTGCGATGCATATTCTCGGCATACTTTGCATTTTAGCGCTGTAACTATTCCGTCAACGCTTTCAATTTCAAGCCAATCATTAGCATTATATTTTGCAAGCGTAGAGACTTTCCATTTATTAGCTGTTTGTAATTGTAGCTTTCTGTCATGAGTTTTTAGTTTTTTCTCAGCGGGTGTTCCAGATACTAAGTTTCTTTTAAAAGAAATAAATGTTTGACGCTTTTTGTATGCTTCCATTTTAAGATTATTTTTAAACTTACCATTTAATTTCTAAAACTTTAAAACAAAAACTGTTTCTTTCAATTTAAATTGTCACGATGATTTCAAAATGAAGTTTTCCAACGAATCACAAACTTGCTTTGTTCATTATTTTTCAGACAATCAAAGAAATGTTAACCTTTCTAGTTATTAATTCATTTTATTCAAATGAATTCGCTTTATTAAAATAATTCTTTTACAGTTAATAAACTTTCGAACTGAAGACTGTTACGAAATCAACGCTATGTTTATTCCACCAATCAAAAGCATTATTAAGTTATTTACAATAAACTTCGCGCTTCTTTTTAATTACCATTTTTAATGTGAACTAAAAGATTATTATTGGTCTAAAAACTTGTTTAATTCAGTAATAATGAACATATTTTTTTTAATGATAATTTAATAAATTTAAGATTCTTTTTTAAATGTTAAAAAATTTTTTATTCTAATGTGTGACATGCAATGTAGACGATCAAATTTGATCGGCCATAATTAATTTTGGGAGTTCAAAATTTCATTTTTTCCAAAAGTCGACGATCATTGATCGTTGATCGGCCGTTATTTTGAGCGCTGTATATATATATATATATATATATATATATATATATATATATATAAATATATATATTTAAATATATATATATATATATTTAAATATATATATTTATATATATATATATATATATATATATATATATATATATTATATATATATATATATATATATATATATATATATATATATATATATATATCAGTGGCGGATTGAGGTTTAATGTCATGGGGGGGCCAAGTCAATGAATAGGGGCGACCGGAGTTGTCTTCAGTAATTTGATCTTAATAACTTTTTTTTTCAATTGTTTTAGGGGGCACCATTAAACCGTTCTAGAAAGGCGTGGTGGGGCAGCTTGCCCCCCACGCCTTATACTAAATCCGCCACTGATATATATATA